ATATATATATATATATATATATATATATATATATATATATATATATATATGCAACCTAGCAACGGAATGTCTCAAAATTCGAACTGTCGAGGTTCCGGGTAGACGTGAAAAAAAAAACGGTACTTAGAGAACGAAACTCACAAATAGTTACAATAACCCATATCCCTGCACTACCATTGGCTGCTGCACAACCAATGAGAGGACTGGACAGTACCCGGAGCGATAAGACCGTAACGAAAACAGCTACCGTTGCTCGACTTATGCGAAGGCTTTCCAAAATCTTGTCAACAGGAATTTTAAATTCGATCCCCTGGCGTATGACTGAGACAGAGTGAGAGTCGCATCAAGGATTACCCTTAAAAGAGGCAACTTTATATATGTATATACATAAATAGCATATGTATATAATTATATATGTCTTTTTTGGTTATGTTTATGAAAAGCACCGCGGACGAACGTTTCCGGACATCGAGGAGGACATCACTAGCACTCTTTACAGAGATCGAACGCATAGGAACCAATGTACAGAGTGAGTACTGAATGGAAGCATGCGTCTCAGGACAAAAAAACGTGTGGTCGCCCACTTACTGTACAGCGAAAGCTTGTATTAACAAGTAATTGAATGTTTATGTGTGTATCCCAATGAATTACTGTAATTGCATATAAAATTGAGTGCACGTGTATTTACGTAAGTGTACGTTTGTGTGTTTCTGTGTGTATGCGTGTATCTATGGTATGTGTGTTCGTATAAATGTGTGTGTCTGTGGGTACGTGTGTGCTTGTGTGCATGTATGTGTTTGTGCGTATGTGCGTGTCCGAATATGTGTGCGTGTCTGTGTATGTCCGTGTGTCTGTGCGTGTGTGTCTGTGTATTTATACATCTGTGTGTGTGTGTCTCTGTGAATGTATGCGTGTGTCTATGGTATGTGTCTGTGTGTGTCTACGTGTGTGTACATGTCGGTATGCATGTGTGTGTCTGTGCGCGTCTACGTATATGTGTGTGCCTGTGTGTATGTGTGTGTGTTTGCGTGTGGGTAAGTCTGACTATACGTGACCGAGTGTTACATGTATTTGTATGACACATACACGTCTTTTACGTCAATGCCTGTCAAAGGTATATCAAAAGATCAAAGGTAGATCAAAAGCAGATCAAAAATAGATATGGGGAAGTGCACGTGTGTCGATGTTTGCGCAGATTTTTATAATTTTGTAAATGTTTGTGTGTGTTGTCTGTGCGTGGGTGTGTGTGTATGCGTGTGAATGCACGTGTACGTGAGTGACTTCATGTGTTCCTGGGCATGTGCACGTGTATGGGCGATGCAGAGGCATATGTGTGTGCGGCGGATGTTTGTGCGGAGTTTGAATAAATTAGTGTTTGTGTATGTTTGTGAGCGTAAATCTGCATGTGTGTGTATGTTTATGTGTGTATGCGTGTTTATGTATGTGTGTGTATGTATGTATGTGTATGAATTGAATTGTTGTAAACAAGGTGTGTGTGTGTGCGTGGATGGGTGAGGTGTGTGTGTGTGTGTGTGTGTTCGCTTGCACTGAGGCGTGTGGAGGTGCGCTGTAGCTGTGCGTTCGAGGAGTTTCGGGATGGCAGCCAGTCCTCCGGACGCGGCAGCAGGCCTGCTCAGGAGGGTGTGTGTG